TCTTATAATAACAATTCTAAATGGAACATAAATCTTCTGATTTTTCTTATTTTGATTTTTTTAATCAATATATACAATTTTACTATTTTGATTTTTTCAATCAACGTATACAATAAATAAAAAACACAAAAGATAAACATGCATGGTAAAAATTTTATTTTATCAAAAAACTTTTTATTTTAATATATTACATTATATATGTGAATATTAAGACATATATATATATATATATATATATATATTATAATTAAACTTTTTTAAAAAATTAATTCATTATTAAGAAAAAAAAATTTATTACATGAGAATTAATTTCTTTCAAAAATTTGATAGATATAAAATAAATAAACATTTTTTCTGAATCTATATTTTTATTTTATTAGAATATAATTTTTATTTTTTAAAATATATTATTTTTTTAGATAAAAAATTATGTATATGTCAAATAGTAGTGGGGCAAGTGCCCACTATTCCAAATGTACATCCGTCCCTATATATATCTATATATATATATATATATATAATATAGGGGGTTATAATTATACCAATGTAACTTTTATTAAGTATTATGTTGTTCAATAACTTTATATTAAATGTGTATTTTGTAAATCCAACCGTTAAATTGAAAGTTCATATCACTTTATAAGTGTATATCAAATTTTGTTAAAATTGAACAACAACTGGAAGGTAATCAAATTGTTTATATTTTAGTGTATTTTAAAATGAATATATGACATCAATTTTGTTTTATAAAAATGAAGTATCAAACCATCTTGGATTAATATAAAGTTTTGTATATATAATCTTTGAGAGATATGAACTTTCAATCTAACAGTTGGATTTACCAAATTCACATTTAATATAAAGTTATTGAGCGGTGTAATACTTAGTAAAAGTCACATTTAATATATATATATATATATATATATATAAGGGGGTTTATAATTACATCAGTGTAAATTTTACTAAGTGTTACACAACTCAATAACTTTATATTAAATGTGAATTTTGTAAATTTAACCGTTAAATTGAAAATCTTTTACTGTTAAATCATATATACAAAATGTTAAATTAATCGAAGATGATTTCTTATAAAAACAAAATTAAATCTGTCAGAAAATTTATATTTTTGATGAGAAAATTTTTGTAGGAAAAACTATATTATTGATGAAATATTTTAGAAAAATTTATATTTGTCGAAAATGTAAGAACTGGTTTTAAATTTGATATGAAAATATTATGATATAATTAGATAAGATTTTAAGTTAGTATTTTATTAATGGTTGATAATTAAAAAATAAAACAAGGATAAATATATTTTTTGAATTTTATATGTTTGATTTAAGATAACTTACAAAATAACTCTTGGTAAAGTTATTCCGCTCAATAACTCATGGTGTGTGTTGAATTTCATCGATCCAATTAATTGTTAATTTAAAAGTTATTAAATTTTACTAATAATTAATATAAAAAAATTAATTAGTTTTGGAATAAATTATTTGCTAATTAACAATATAATTGAAACATTAATTATTTTAAATTATTTAACTAAAATCTTATTGACAATTTACTATATGATCTTAATATTTTTGTATAACTAATATCTGGTTTTAAATTTGATATGAGAATATTATATATAATTAGATAAGATTTTAAGTTAGTATTTTATTAATAGTTGATAATTAGAAAATAAAACAAGGATAAATACATTTTTTTGAATTTTATATGTTTGATTTAAGGTAAATAAATATATTAAATTAATTAATAATTTATTTAAAATATTAAAATTTAATTTATAAGTATGTAATAAATAAATATTTATAATTTTATAAATTATATTATCATTATAAATTATAAAATTAAATAATTTAAATTATAATTTTAAATAGAAATAAGTAGATGTTAATTATAAAAGTAAGTACATATAAATAAAGAATAACTGAATATATTATTATTATTATTATTATTATTATTCATAATATAAAATTATTATATATTATTATTATAGTACAAATATGAGATTGTATATTTGAGGATAACTTAAATGAATTAATTTGTATAAGTTATACTGACAACATACATATAAATTTCGGTAGCCTACTCATCAGAACTTCACAGTTAAGCGTGTTTGACCTGGGGTAGTACAAGGATGGGTGACCTTCTGGGAAGTTTTCCAAAAATTGCACAAGTAAGGATAAAACACGCCAAATAGTGAAATATTGTGAAATAGAACCCTTGAGAGGCCAAATATGAGGATTGTTACATTAATAAATTTATTAAAATTAAAAAAAATTATAATTTTTGACAGGTAAAAAAAGAGTCATAATATTAATTTAGAGGCAGTTGGTGCGACAGTTGATGAAAGGGTCGCAATTCCAAGTTTGCGACGGTTTGTGCAACGGTTCTGATAACCGTCGCAAAATTGCCTGGTGACGGACAATTCTGCGACGATTCCCAAACCGTCGCAATATTGTCTTTGCGGCAGTTCTAACCGTCGCAATGTAGGCCATATAACCGTCGCAAAATCGTCATTTTCTTGTAATGATTTATTGTGTTTTAATGTTGGGGTAGAGGGTGTCATAGAAAATCCTTAGGAAAAGTTACTTGTGAAATTTTCCTACCATTTAGTAAACATTATTTGTGAATTTATTTTTACAAAAAAATATGCAAGAAATAAAATAAAATTATTACAAAATTTTCTATAAAATTTTACCATGGAAAACAATTTCTATGATCATTAAAATTGTAGCAAAATTTGCAAAAATTTCTTGTAGATTATTTTTCGTAAAAAAATTTGTAAGAAATATTTGTAAATTATTTTTCACAAATAAATTCATAAAAAAAAATTGTAAAATTATTATTGCAAGAAAATTCGTAAAAAAAAATTTGCAAATATTTTTTTGTAGGAAAATGACACATTTCTAGTAATGTAAATAGATATTTTTAAACACATATATAATATTTTATATTTAAGATACATGAATTATATTGCAGCACAAGATTTAATTTTAATCATTGATAATTTATTTTAAAATATTAAAATTAAACTCAATAATAAATAGGATAAAAAGTAAAATTCGATAAGAAGTTAAAAAAATTCAAAATTTCTCTCGCCGAATAATAGCTCATGAAATCACTCTCGTGTGAGATAGTCATTCACATTTAATATATATGGACTAATTTATTTTTAAATTATATTTTAATATCTTAAAGTAAATTATCAAAAATTTAAAATAATCTTATGTCAAAATATAAACCAGTATTTTAACTTGTGCAATGAACAAGTTAAAATATTTATTATACATAACTAAAATTTAAAATAATTTCTGTATAAATAAATGTTATGTTTGATTATATAAATTATATATAAAATTTGAATAAATAGATATATTTAAATATATAAATTATATTTTAGATTTATTATAAATAATTTATATTATAAGATAAGATTATTTTATTTATTGATAATTTGTTTTAAAAATATTAAAATTTTAATTCATAAATAATTATAATAAACAAAAATCGAATTCAATATTTAGTAAAAGAATCTCTAAAAACACTCTCCTAAAAAAAACTCCTAAAATGCTTTCACACAAAATAATTATTGTTCATATTTAATATAGAAATTATTTCCCTATTTTATATATATTAAAGACAAATAGGAGCGTTTTTAGTTTTTTATTTCAATGGTGGAGTTTTAAAAAAAATAACTTTTTAATCTGTTTCAATATATATTTATCATATTTATTTTTAAGTTAAATTTTAATATTTAAAATTAATTTTCAACAATTAAAAATAATTTTACGCCACAGTACACAAATTTAAAATGTAATTTATTTATTGAAATAAATTTTAAATATAATATAATTTATATATTTAAATATAATATTTATTTATATATAATTTATTATAAATTTTAATTATATATAAAAAAACATTTTATTGATGCAATACACTGAATAAAATACTAATAACTTAATAATTACATGGATAAAAGATAGTCCATAAAAAAATATACAGCAGGGTAAATGATGATAGAATGTATTTTGATTATATGCAATATTTCAATTGGCACATTTTATACAAGGACAAGACTGCTGTTCAAAAAAAAAATACAAGGACAAGACTTACGAAATTGGCACATCATGATATAAATTTATCAAAGCACTATATATCTCGATAAAAAAAAAATATGAAATTCATGAACAAAATGTTTATATAGTATCTTTGATCACTTTTTATTTTAACTATGAAAGTAATATATTTTCACATTATTCAAGTTATTAGTTCCGATCCGGATCATAACAAAATATTTTCTTACACCATAAAAATAATTAAAAAGTAATACAACAAAATATATATGACAAAATATATATAAAAAATACTTACAAATTAATTACAAAAATACTTAAAACACCATAAATATATATGACATTAAAGAAACAATATTATTAGTAGTAAAAAATTTAACGAATAAAAAAAAAAGAATTATGGATATGATAAAAAAAAGTGTGTAATTTTTACAAAATTACACTAACAAATTAATTAAAATATTGTTTATAAAACGATCTAATCTCTTATTTTGTCCTATACATAACAGATCACAAAAGTCCATGAACTTTATAGAAATCATAAGGGTTTATCTTTGAACTCAACTTGCATTTTAACTGAACAATTTTTCCAAGACTTAAACACTTTTTTATAGCAATTTTATCATAACTTCCCACCCCTCAAAATAATATTTTTAACTCCACCCCACCACACCATGTGGGTTGCTGTTATATTCGAGTATAATGATATTTAAATTTTTAGTCATAATTATGGAAGAGAATAATGTATTATGAATAGTTAATAAATGATAATAGCCATTCAGATGGTTTATGTGACACTTTAATAATGTGAGAGAAGAATGTCTAGCACCGACCGTTATTGCTAAAAATGTCTCTAAAGGAAGGTTGTTACTTTTGCAAATTCTCTCCTCTTCAAAGTTATGCAGGGTCCCTCTTTGCTCACTCTCTTTGTCTTTTCTTTTTCTCAGTTTATAACTTTTTATCCATCTACATCATAAAGGGTCTCTTGGAAAATCGCAGAGTTATGGACAGTGTCCTTTGAAACTCCAAACAAATAAAACAGCTCATAGTAGTATAGTAGTATTATAGTAAAAGATAGCCTCAAAAGTACGCTAACCCACTTCCTCTTTTCATACAACTAAATTGGAAATTGCTTCTTCCTGATTAGTTTTGCTTTCATCTGCTTGAATGTGTCTCCGATTTCTGAAGGGTCTTTTTGTGTGACAAAAGGGTATTATGGTGATCAACCTTTTATGTGTCAAATATGTACAATGTGTGGTTTGTTGTTTATGTTGGATGGTTAGTATCAAAACTGATATACTTTTTTGGCGTGGTTGGTTGCAGCTGGATTGGAAAAAAGGGAAAGTGAACCCATTTCTGAGTAACATAAGGGCAAGGCTAAAGACAAGACCGATGCCCTTGAATATATTTCAGGATAAAGATGGATTGCCTCGGATTATATTGACTGAACCAACTGGCACATCAGCAGAGGTTGGTTTCACCATCTTTGTTTCTCTTGTGCCAACAAGTTGATATTTTTTTGGTCTTGTTATGATTTCAGAATGTTTTGTGATTTAGTGGTTGGTGTTGTGTAGCTTGTGATAAGCTTTAGCCGTAGCTCATGTTATGTTCTGTATCATATGATTCAGACTCTGCAAGATTAAAAGAGTTTTTGAAAGCTTATCTGCTTAAAATAAAGATCTCTTTCCGGCATAAAAAAAAACTCTCAAAAATACTTTTAAGTTTATCCAAACTGGCTCTCACTAATCACATGTATCTATATTTGTCATAAGAGGCAACAACACCTTCTGAAGCCCTTTGAGAAAATTTTGTTATACTGGACTTCCCTTAGGCTGGTGATGCAGTCCTTTATCAGTTGCCTAAAAGTACAACCTTATCTTTAGGCAAGATATATGCAATTATTTTACTGACTTGGAAAATTTGTAATCTATTTGGAAAAATATGATGATAATTTTAAAATGAAATCAAACATATTGATATGATATGGAAGAGGTTATTTCCACTTTGTCCAACTTTCAACTGCGCGAAAATATGTGGTTTCAGGTGCTTCTATATGGAGGGCGGGTTGTTTCTTGGAAGAATGAACGCAAGGAAGAACTGCTTTTTATGAGCAGTAAGGTAAATAAATATCTTTCTTTTGCATTGTCTACTTATAAGCCATTGCACACCAGCATTGTTATTATCATAACATTGAAAGCACAAAGTTGTGGTTAAAATTGAATTCATGTTACTTTTTCCATTTTATGATCAATCCTTATTCAAGACTAACCGTATGTGTAGATAAATTTTTTTAGAAGTAAATCTAAAAAAAATAATAAAAATGGAAAATGAAATAAGTTTCTACATAATTATACATAAATTAAAAATAAGATTTGAAGAAATTAATATGAGAGTTTCTACTCCCCTCAAAAAAAAAATATGAGAGTTTCTACAAATTATTTTTTTTTTTTTTTTGGAATGCTGGTGGAGAAGTTTATCCAAATAAGTCCCAAGTCACTTAGTAATTATCATATATTCTTATCCATTTGCATTGAATTTCTTGTAAGGACAAAAGTATGTAATTTTCATACATTTATCCCACTCGGTTATAGTTTTCAGTTTGTTACATTCTCTTGTTTGAATTTTGATCTCAACAGGCTAACTCGAAGCAATCTAAAGCAATCAGAGGGGGTATATCAGTCTGCTTTCCACAGGTTAACTTCATCACATTGGTGGAAAGATATTTGATTTTTGTCATTACTTAGATAATTAATGTTATACTTTTCACATTAAAATTAGATTCTGCATTTTCAACTATACTTTTCAATTTGCAGTTTGGAAATCTTGGTTCACTAGAACAACATGGATCTGCAAGAAACAGATTGTGGTCATTGGATAGGGACCCTTCACCTCTACCTCCATCAGACAATCAGTCCTCAGTGGATTTGGTATTAAAGTCAGCAGGAGTTGACTTAAAGACCAGGCCATCTAGGTATGAGTTTAAGCTGTGTTTTTCTTCTTCTTGTTTTTTAGTTTAAATATATTTTTAGTACTTTAAATATTAATTTAGTTTTAATCTTTTAAATTTAAAATTTACTTTTAGTCATGTAATTTGAAATTTTTTTATTTTAATTACTCTATTCAAATATCGTGAATGAATATATCAAATAAAACTCATTTATTATTGAATCTATCATACAAATTTACCGTCTAATATTGTTAATAATAAAAAATATCACATTAAATCTAATTAATGTTATATAACTGTTTTAATTTGTCATTATCATTAATCATGATATTAGTGACGCTGACAATTTAAAATAAAAAAATTAAAATTACAAGAATAAAAATATCAATTTTAAATTTAAAGAATAAAAATAAATTTATCTTAAATTTAAGGATTAATAATATGCTTTAAGACTTTTTTTTTTTACTCATTTCCATTGACCATACTCTATAAAAATTTGATTTTTAACTGAGCTGAAAGACTGTGTGCCCCATAAAGCCATCTCTTAGTGAAAATAAGGATTTTTTGTTGTTATTCCGTTGAGTTCACTGTAGATGAAATATTTCTGTATGCACCATTAAATTGCCCAAATCTAAACATTTTTGTTCTGCTTCTTCTTCTGCAGTTTCGAGTTTCGGCTTCGCATCTCTCTCAGTGCTGGCAAGCTCACTTTGATCCCCAGAGTCAGAAACACTGATAAAAAAACACTTTCTTTCACACTGTCAACAAGCAACTATTTATCTGTATCTGATATCAGGTTTGCATTTTAGATACTGAAATAAGTCAAATACCGAACCACTTTTATTTTAGTTGTTGTATACAAAATTTTCTTTTCACTTGTTGCAATTTTATTGGCAAAGGTTTTATGTTTTGCAAATTTTCACCTTTACCATTGCACATCATGCCATGATAATCATTTTCTGGACCTTGAGAATGCTGATATGATTCAAACAGAAGATTGAAAGATCTTACTTCATTGTTTCCTTAAGAGAGGTTGAATTATGCTGTTCAAAATTTGCAGTGAAGTGCGTGTTGAGGGATTGGAGACACTTGATTACTTTGACAATCTGATGAACAAATCAAGGTTCACAGAGCAGGCAGATGCAATTACTTTTGATGGCCAGGTATAAAATTACAAGATTAAATATGTTTTTAGGGTCTCGTATATAAGAAAAAACATTTAAAATTAATATTTTAGCCTCAATAATTTGAGAAAAATCTTATTTTAGTTCTTTTGCTCAAAAGGTGTTAGTGAATCTATAAAATACATCACCTATTACTGAATTTGTAGGTACAAAATTTATATATTAATATCTATTTTAGGAGAAATATCACAATAAACTCAATTAAGTTGTATAACTATCTTGATTTTATCAATGCCACTTATGCTATTGGTAGTTATAAGAGATTAAAATAAGATTTTTAAAAATTAAAAGTACTAAAAAAATTAATTTTAAATTTGAAGGATAAAAATAAATTTATCCTTAATTTAAGAGATTGAAAACTAATTTAAGCAAACTAGAAATTCATATTCTGCTTCAGCATTTAATTGGTTGCAACATCTCGTTCACTCACTAAATCCACACCTCATAAGTCATTAGCTTAACATTTCTATCATTGTTTTTAATTTATTTCACATGTTCGCAATGTAGATTGCTACAAAATCATATTTCTTTTTGGTCATCTCTAAGGACAATTTTGGTTTCCTTGTAGATGGACAGGGTGTACTTGCGCACCCCCACGAAAATCGCCATCATAGACCATGAGAAGAAAAGAACTTTTGTACTGCAGAAGAATGCAATGCCAGATGCAGGTTGTTCAACACTTTCTGTAATATTGTTCCTATTCAGCACTCATATTGTAGTATTTACATTTTATTGTTTTTTTTATGCATCTGATATGATCCAAACATGCATGGTACTAGTATTTCTATTATGGTAAAATCATATTTGATATAACTATACAAAAGATAGTTGACACTGAGAAGAATTTCTATTATTAAGAAAAGAACAAAATTACAAAGAGAATTCTCAATGAACTCTTTATATCTCACAATGCTTTCTAAGGATTAAATCTTCATGCTTTCACTCTTCCTTGAATGAATTATTACAATCCTATGTACTTATTTATATTAGAATACAAGTAATAAAAGTTTTTCGTTATGAACGATTAATATTAATAATCCATTAATTTGATGAATGAATTATAACTATTTATTAAATTTGGAAATCATATTCAGGCCATACGTAAAAATTTCCATCAAGTCACTTATTCATTTGTAATGCAAATGCAGTGGTGTGGAATCCTGGGTATAAGAAGGCCAAGGCTCTTCCTGATTTGGGGGATGAAGATTACAAGTTCATGATATGTGTTGATTCAGCAGCTGTTGAAACCCCAATAATGTTGAAGCCCTATGAAGAGTGGAAGGGCTATCAGGAGCTCTCTACTGTTTCATCAAGCTATTGCAGTGGACAACTGGATCCTTGTAAGGTTCTCTATGGTTTTCACTGACCACCTTAATGGAAGATTAGAATTATAATGGACTTCAGTGTCCAAATTAGTTATGCACTTGCCTGTGCATTCATACAATGCTGACTGCTGAGGCTATAATAAAGTGAGAGCAACTAAATAATTGAGAGATGCTTCTTGGTATTCATACTTATGTCAACTACCTAAGTTACTTGCCATTGCAATATTACAGTATTATCCATTGAATTAGACAACGTGTTTGTAAGGTTCCAATAAAATTTTCAAGGAACGGGCATTGCCAACAAAAATCAGATTATCGAAGTAATTTAGTACTTTCTTTTATAGGCCCTGCATAATTCACTCTCAGATGAATACAAGCAATTTTAGTTTTAGCAATTATGGAAAGGATCATTACTTTTTTTCTCCTTCATCACATAACAAAGCTAGTTAGAAACTGTTAGATTTATGAGATTTTCCTTTATTTAAATTTTGAATTTTGAATAAATTTTAGATAAGATATTTGTTATTGTTACGTTTTATTTATTATATTTTATTTTCAGTTATTCAATATAATCTCAACAAGTAGAGTTGTTAGTAGATGAGATTTGTTAGGATTTTTAAATTGATTGTAAGTCTATACATACATGGACGATGACAGCTGACCAGAAAGCGATCCAAATACACAGAGAAAACCAAGAAGGTTGGATTGCATCTGAAGTCACAACGAGAAGAACTACCTAGCATCCACACTTTCAGAAGAGCACATGAAGTCATCAAAATAGAAGAGAAGAGAAGAGAAAAATAGGAATAACGCTTATCCACAAATCAAAGTTGCATGTGTCAAAGCAAGTACACCTGTAGACCCCTAAAATTGTCCGGGTCGGAAATAAGACTCGAAGACTCTCGAAGACCGAAGGAAAGTCAGCCGGAAGGACTCCTGGAAGACCCTAGGATGATTCTTTGTAGGTCTAGAAGTCTTAGAGTAGCTTAGAATAAGGGTGTGCGAGGATTGGAGCTCAATACACCCTCCCAGAGGTTCAGTACGGCCGTACTGAGCCATTTGAACTGCAATACGGCCGTAGTGAACTCAATACGGCCGTACTGAAGTTTTTGAACTTCAGTACGGCCGTACCAAATTCAATACGGCCGTACTGTAGTTCAAAAACCCAGTACGGGCCGTATTGACCTCCCAGGCCGTATTGCGCCTCAATCCTATAAATAGGACATCATTTGCACGTCCTCCCACACTTTTTCCACACTTCTGGACCCTCGTGCTGAGTATTCTTGGGTTTTTGAGCTATTCTCTGCCCTAGAAGTCTCTCCGAGAGCCAATCCGACGAAGTTCTTGAGTCATGAGCCATTAGCTTGAGACTCGAACAAGTCGAAGGGAAATCTCTTTGATTTCCATAGTAAAAATTATCTTTAGGGAAAGGAGCGAGCGGACGTGTAGTGGGAAGGAGCGCCAAAAAGCCTCCTAAAACAGACCAAGATAGCTCTGAAAAGCTTAGAAAACTCAAAAATATAATATTGGACATGGAACGGTTGTTCCCGTTCCCTCGAAATCAGAACAACGCGTTCCCCTTTCCAGAAAAGCTTCGTGTTGGGCAACATTTTTCCTATGATAATATCTCTTGCCACAAACCCAATTTTGACAATTCGACCGTTGAAGTTAAAGACCAATGTATTCAGAAGATATCATCAAAATTTCAGCATGATCTAATGGTTAACGAATTCTCTAGAGGCCTCGCATTGCAACTGGAAAACATGAGTCTTATACTAGATAACATTTTTGTTCTAATAGTATATTTCCCTACAGATCTGATTTCAAAGATCCAACCGTTGAGATTGAAGATAAATACATTGTGAGGATACCATATAAGAATAACATGATCCGACGGTTAACAAGTTCTCTTGTGGTCATGCACGGTGCCTAGAAAAAGATTGTATTTTTTGTAAGATTTAGTCCCACATTTGTTAAGTCAGACGAAGACGAAAGCATTTCCCAGCAAGGTTTTGAATGAGACAAATATAATACATGTTATTTCTAACAAGTGTGTTAGTGTTTCAGATATAAGTATAGGCAAGTTGAAAAATAGAGAATATGCATGTATTACCGTCCACACTAGAACCAAGAGATATGAGCTAAGCACTAGATAAAGGCTGATCAAATGAAGGGAATACATCAGACGAAGACACCCACAAACATAGACACAAAAGAAATAAAGAAAAAAACACGAGAAACCAAGATGAAAGGCAAAAGCTAACAAGACGTTAGATGAGAAGATCAAACGAAATCAAGCCCAACACAAGAAGGAAAATAATGAAGCCTTAGATGATACAAGACCATGGACGATGACAGCTGACCAGAAAGCGATCCAAATACACAGAGAAAACCAAGAAGGTTGGATTGCATCTGAAGTCACAACGAGAAGAACTACCTAGCATCCACACTTTCAGAAGAGCACATGAAGTCATCAAAATAGAAGAGAAGAGAAGAGAAAAATAGGAATAACGTTATTCAATATAATCTCAACAAGTAGAGTTATTAGTAGATTAAATTTGTTAGGAATTTTAAATTGATTGTAAGCCTATACATACGCATCCTCTTCTATGAATTTCAATGTTGATTTAATGATAGTTTTCCATCTTCAATTTTAATTTTAATTTATCTGCAAGATCCAATTTTTCTATATTTTTCACAAAATATTTCCAACAGAAACATTACTTTTACCTTGATGGTAAGTTGGTATACCGCTGACACCATGATAGTTTATGTACACCGCTGACACCATGATAGTTTATGTACACCGCTGACACCATTGCATGACTTCGTATAAATGTAATGTTCTATTTGATGGTGAAAATTTGTCTCCGGAATAGAAGATCTAACCAACAAATATGTTTTATTCAAAGGACTTAAACTAAAAATTAAATGAATACTTTTTTTTGTCAAATCAGCAACACAACATTTTTAACTTGAGTGTATGATACAGGTTAAAGTTTCAAATCTATGTAGATCAAAACTTTACGATCAAAACTTTACAAATATAAAGTTATTGGCTTTTAGAAAATAATACGAAAGAACGATTATGGTTTTATCTAGTTCGACGAGTTTATAGAATGTACTTAAAATATTTATAAAAAAATTTATTAAGAATCATATGCATAATTTACAATTGAACTATGCGAAAAAATAATAGACAATGCATGAAAAATAAAGAGTTTAAAGTTTCGTGAAGAGCAGAAGATGATAATGTGAGAAGTCATAAATGTAAAAGTAAAAGTTTGGAAAAGAAACAATAAAGAGAAAAAAAAATTGCATAAACATAGAGGGTAAAGAGTTCTAAATTAGAGATGATGAAATAGATTGAAAGTAATAAATTGAAATTTTAAAAGCGAGTGCATTAAAGGTCTTAATAACCTGTTTTAAAAGATTGGTAAAAAAAAATACATACACTTGACTTGAATCGAGTCATAAAGTGTAAATGGTATTAAAGACTTTTAGTATAAACGTTTCGAACAAATAAAAAAGAATATATGTTTCTCTCTACATATAGATTTTGCGACATAAGGATCATGTTATAATATTTCTGCATGTTTGAAAACCAACTAAATTGAACTATATAAGATGTTGATATTTGTCCTGACCCATGCCTGACAAGCATGTGTTATAGTGTTAAAATGTGATACAAACTTCTAAAATAAGTTAAATTATTATATAAAAATATATAGGTGTATTGTGTATGCTAGAAACAACTAGATAGTACAAATTCTAGAATTATGTAGATAATTACATATAGATAGAAAATTCTAGAATAGATATCTTTAGAATTCTCTATATAAAACATGAATAGTGGTGTTGAGGCCTATAAATAGGTCATGTACCCAACATTTGTAACCAAGCAACTAGTAAGTCATTTCCACTCAAATCTATTCCAACTATTCCTCTAAGCTAGTTTTCCTTTCAACTATGCCTATCAATATAAATTTGTCTCCTCATTCTTTCTATCAATCAAAGAAATTTTTACTATTTAATAATTCATAAACTAACAGTGGTATTAGAGCTACGTTTGGTCATCTACTAGGTGTAGAAATATTACCCCACTACTTCCAAAAAAAAATTCTCAATATTCTACCTACTTTCAAAAAAAAATTTCTAATCCATGACTAACAACATTCAACCATCATTTATCCCTATTCCCATTTTTTATGGTGAAAATTAGGATTTTTGGAGCACCAAAATGAAGACATTTCACCTTCCAAGATTTATGGGACATGATAGAAGAAGGATTTTCTGCTCCAAAAGACACCTCATCCCTTACTACGGCTCAAAAAAGGAGTTGAAAGAGAACAAGCAAAAGAATTCAAAGACGTTATTTATTTTGCAACAAATTGTGACCGACATAATTTTTTCGAGAATAAGGGATGCAACAACAACCAAAGAAGCATGGACTACACTACAGGAGGAGTGTGAAGGAAGTGAAAAGGTACATGCAGTAAAATTACAAACTCTACGGCATAAATTTGAATTGTTAAATATGAAGGAATATGAGACTGTAAAGGACTACTATTCGAAGATAAAAGAAATAGTTAACCAAATGAGAGCCTACGGGGAAAATATTTTTGACAAGAAAATTATGGAGAAAATTCTAATTAGTATTCCCTATAAATATAATCCAATCGTGACAACGATTGAGAAAACAAAAGATTTATCTACCATATCAATAACAAAGTTAATGAGGTCACTTGAAGCTTATGAGAAAAGGTTGAATAGGCATGACGAGGACCCAACTGAAAATGTCTTTCAATCAAAGCGCAAATTACAGTCTCAAAATATAGAAAAAAGGAATAGTGGAAAAACTTATAGAAATAAATAGAATTCTAGAAATTTCTCTAGAAGTTATCAGAATGAATATCCTCCATGCGGCATTTGCAAGAGGACAAATCATGTCGAGAAAGACTAGAGATATCGTGGAAAGTCACAATGTCGCCACTACAACAAAGTTGGATGTGTGGAGAAGTATTACCGCAACAAAAATAAGCATCAAGCAAACTTTGCTAAAGAGAAAGATGGTGAGCAACATCTTTTCTATGCTACCCAAGATTTCAATAGTGAAACAAGTGGAAGTTTGTACTTGGATAGCGGCTGCAACAATCATATGGCCAAAGATGCAAGCATCTTCAAGGATATTAACGAATCTATCAGAGTGAAAGTCCGAATGGGGAACAAGACTATCGTTGAATCAAAAGGCAAAGGAATAGTTATGGTGGAGACGAAGAAAGGTACTAGACTTATTACTAACGTTCTACTAGTTCCCAATCTCAAAGAAAATCTCTTGAGCACTGGCCAAATGATGGAGAAAGGTTATACTCTCCACTTCGATGGAGACACATGTAAAATATATGAGAATAAAAAGCTAGAGATTGATCGAGTAAAAATGGAGAAGAGGAATAAAAGTTTCCCTATAAGCCCGAGATAAGGCCTTAACATTGCCATGAAAGCAAAAGTAGACGACTGATGGCTTTGGCATCGAAGATTTGGCCACTTTAATATGCATGCCTTAAAGTTATTATATAAAAAAATATGATGAGTGATCTCCTATGCCTAAAGGAGAATAATGAAGCTTGTGAAGAATATCTCCTTAGCAAGCAACATCAACTGTTGTTTTCAACATGTAAAGCATGGAGAGCAAAGGACTTGTTGGAGTTGATCCATACAGATATATGTGGACCAATGTGGACGTCGTCACTTCATAACAAGTATTTCATTCTCTTCATAGATGATTTTTTAAAATGACTTGGGTGTACTTCTAAAAGCAAAATCATAAGTCTTAGGTATTTTCAAGAAGTTTAAGACCCTTAACAAAAAGCAAAGTGGCAAACAAATAAAAGTACTTAGAAGTGATCGTGGCAAAGAATACATTTCCCATGAGTTTCATAAATTCTATGAAGATGGAGGCATTGAGCGACAACTTATAGTTGCATATTCTCCACAACAAAATGGAGTATCTAAAAGGAAAAACCACACAATAATGGAGATGGTCAGATCGATGCTCAAGGAGAAAGGATTACCAAACACTTTTTGGGCTGAAACAATTTATATTGTTGTTTACATACTTAATAGATGCCCAACTAAGATAGTCCAAGATAAGAATCCGATTGAAGCCTAGAGTGGGAAAAAACAATCAGCAAAGCACCTAAGGGTATTTGGATCCATTTTCTACATACACGTTCTAGAAGAGAAAAGGAACAAGCTAGAAGACAAGACAATATGAGGTATCTTCCTTGGATATAGCACATAGTCAAAAGGCTACTGAGTCTACAACTTGCAAACCAAGAAACTGACTATTAGCCGAGACATTGAAGTTGATGAAAATGTGGCTTGGAATTAGAATGACAAGAAAGTAGAGAAAAATATTTCTATTTCAATGTAAGAACTAGAAGAAGAAATTGCAGAAGTCCCAAGTGGGCCTTATTCTCCTCCACAACAATAAAGCAAGCAAAAATTGCACAATCAACTGTAGAGGCAGAATACGTTGCAGCAGCTAAAGCTACAAGTCAAGCAATTTGGCTACGAAGAATACTTGCAGAAATGGAAGAATAACAAGATGGCCTACTACAATCTATTGTGACAATAAACCAACAATAGCAATGACAAAAAGTCTAGTACATCACAGCAGGACAAAACACATTGTAATTAAATATCACTTCATCATAGAAGCAAAAACAATTAAAGAAATCAAGATGGAGTATTGCAAGACCGAAGAGCAAGTTGCTGACATATTCACAAAGCACCACCAAGAGCAAGATTCAAATAGTTTCACACTATGATAGGAGTTAGAGAAATTTGTATCAAGGAGGAGTGTTAAAGTGTGATACAAACTTCTAAAATAAGCTAGATTATTATAGAAAAATACATAGGTGTATGCTAACAGCTACTAGATGGTACAAATTCTAGAATTATGTAGACAATTTACATATAGATAGAAAATTCTAGAATAGATATCTCTAGAATCCTCTATATAAAACATGAATGGTGGTGTTGAGGCCTATAAATCCCATAGGAGGTTTGGTTAAGCTAGTTACTAGACTTTCTTATTTAAGTGATGACATTTGAGAAACTGAGTTGTTGTGTTGTGGATTTATATCCAATTTGTTGTTGATCTAGCAAGCCCAAAAAGATCACCTTGTGATGTTAGTTCGTTAAACCACTTAAACTGATCACCTTATGTTGTAGGAGATCTTTTAGTTGAAATAGGTGACGATGCATATAGTTGTTGTGTTAAGCATATGGTGTGTTGAGTTGATTGTGTTGTTCATATGTTGTGTTGTTTTGTGATGAAATATGATGATGAGTTGAAACTAAGTTGTGGCGTTGATATGCATTGTATAATGTGATGTCTAGTTATTGTGTTAAGGAGATGAGATGGTGATATGATATCCTTATGTTGTATATATGTTGTTTCCTTTTTACTCTAGCTTACTCTTACATGTTTCCATGTGGTTTTGACTGCAATGATTATACATAGTATGAGAATTAGGCAGGGATAAGTATAAAGTGTTGTAGTGGAGGCCATGCAATGACATCGGAGCTGGATGTTTCGTTGACTACCTATGATGGTAGATTTGTATATATAGTGGTAGTTACTTGACTGACAACTTATACTTTATAGTTTATATTTACCATATTACTATATTTATATTGCACATATTTATGTAATTGTTTATCTTTTATGCATGCACTATAGTACATATTTATCGAATTTGTAAATCTATAGTTTTAAGTTAGATGTTTTTCACTACTAGTAACTATGTCACAAAGTGTAAGAAATAAGGCGAGTTGTTACACATTACAAAATAATATTTTTTTTGAAATTACAAAGATTAAATAGATAAATTTTTAATTTGAGGGATGAAAATAATGTTTTTTTTAATATTTTGGAAACTAAAAATACATTTTTTTTTAAATTTAAGAGACCAAAAGGTATATATAAAGACTAAAATATTTTTTTTAAATTACAAAAATTAAAAATACTAGTTTTAAATTTGAAGAATAAAAAATAATTAACTCAAATTTAGAAGACAAAAATATAATTAAGCCAAAAATTATTATCAAAATGTTTCAAATTTACACTCGATAACCAACATGTCATTTGAATAAAATTAAAATTAATCCTATAAATAAAAATCATATTTCATAAATGTGGTTAAAAAATATTATAGCAAGGGAATATCTCTTAGACTTTTTTTTTTCCGGTGAGTGAGAGAGCTTTTGAAAATTGTATTAATTTCATATATTTGATCTCTCTAGATACTTATCTTTTTTAAATTTATATATTTTATCTTTAGTTTTAAAATAAATTTGAATTTTTAAAAATTATAATATACATTATTCATCATGCATCTAAAATATAATTTATATATTCAAAATATTTATTTATTATAATTTTTTATTATAATATATTTTATATATTTAAATATATTTATTTATTATAAAATTTAATGTTTATGTAGTACATACATCACACTCGTTGAAAACTAGTTTTATCCTAAACCCACAACATAATCCAATTTCAAATTTTTGGTCACGAATTAATACGAAAAATTATAAAATTTATTTATTTAAATGTCCTTTTCCCGGAAAGAAAAAAATTATCAATTATTTTGTTTCATTATTTGAGGAACATATGCAGCTAGAGAAAAAGGAACCCTAGGCGAGAGCAGTTTTAGCAGAGTGAGCAGAGGAAAGAGCAAAGAGGAAGAAGGAAATTTTTGATTGCGATTTTAGAGAGAATTTGAAGGATGAGTGAGAGGAACAATAAACGAAAGAGACAGAGAAACAAACGCTTTAAGGAGGACCCACAAATTCTTCCTTCTCCTTCCCATTCTTCTAAGCGCTCAAAGTTGAAGGAACCCTCTTCCTTTCTCGACAAGGCACGCATAACTGAACACACAGCACAACCTTTTATTCGTTCATTTGATATGTTTTATGGTTTTGATCGAAACGCTGCGTTTGTTGCAGATGCGAGCCAGGTTGTCTGGGGGCCATTTCAGGATGATTAACGAGAAGCTCTACACTTGCACGTATGTTGTTGTCTTGTGTTGTGTCTCTGCACTTTCAGTGCTTTTAGACCCTCGAATTTGCACCATTCTCTGCTTTTTGGTCGTTTTTTGCTTCTACGCATTTGGGTTTTGTTTCTGTTGTGTCGTCTTTGTTCTTGAGTTTTGACAAGGGTTGAGGATGTTTTTCAGTGGGGAGGAGGCGCTGGATTATTTCCAGGGAGAACCGTCGTTGTTTAACTTGGTAAGGGTTGTTTTATCTGGCATTATTAAGAGATAAACTATAGTGTCATTGTTTCTTGTGTGATTGAACTAAGAATCTGTTTGGATTCAAGCTAGAAGTGTTTTTGAGAGTTTTTATACTGAAAATTAAGAGTATTTTCTTGTAGAGAAGCTCTTAAAAGTACTTCTAAGCTTGTATCTGAACAGACTCTAAGACTGATTGTACTTTTGTTTAGGTAAAATATCCAAACAACTACAATCTCACTCACATACTTTGTAATGCTTTTTTTTTTCTCTCCTGTTTTACTAGTTGCATCTAAGGCTAACCTTCAAAACGGATAAGGTACACTTGGAGCAATGGGAGAGCATTAAGCTGAATAATTATAGCAATTGCAATTGTAGACTCTTGGAATTAATGACCTGCCTTTGTGCTTTGAACAACATAAATGTATATTTTTATTAATAAAAGGGTAAATTACAGTCACTTTCCTTGAGGACACTCCTCCCTTCTGTGGCATTACATTGACTTACTTCAGTCCATATAGTTGCTTAAGAAATTAGGAGAGATTCATGTTAATGCGAAGGGTGCATAGTGTTATGCTCTTGTATGTTAAAAGTGGATTGAGTAGGGTCAAAAAAGGCAATTGAATGAGGTGAAATTTCATTAAACCTTTTCTCCCCTCCCCCACAGAAAACTAGATTTGAATTCCACAAAGCAACATATGTTTTAGGTCATAGTTGTTTCGCTTGTCTTGCTTGACTAGTGACTGAACTCCATTTCCTCTTTCTGTATTACTCTTATACTTGAAGCTTGTTTCAATTCTTCTGACATTATTAGTGCATTCACAGACTTAGCATTAAGTTGTAATTGTTTGAATAGGCAATTCTTATTGGGCATCTCATTTTGTTTTTGCTAGTATCATGCAGGATACAAATCGCAGATGTCAAATTGGCCTGAACAGCCAGTTAATGTGATTATTAAGTGGCTGAAAAAACAGAGCCCTTCTTTTGTCATTGCTGATTTTGGTTGTGGTGAGAAGTTACCACGATCTTTTTGTTAAATGTAACTTTATACCCATGTTCTGTTTCCTCTTTGCTAATGCCTTCAAGTTTCCATTCTAGGGGAAGCACTCATTGCTAAAAGTGTGAAGAATAAAGTCTTCTCTCTGGATCTCGTCTCCAATGATCCAAATGTAATTGCTTGTGATATGGCAAATGTATGTTTTTCTTCTTGTAAGGCTAATATTAGTGCACATTGAAAGTTACTTTATAGCATTGGACAGTTGTAATCTTGTTTGTTATCCTTGTCTTCATACATATGTCACAATCACGTTGAAAGCTGGTTTTGTTTATTTCACTAGAATGTATTGCTTCATTTATTTGGAAAATAAACATTGCATGATCATTAACCTTTTAGAATATAAAGATTGTCGTGTGCTGTTATTATTGGTAACATATTACAAAACTAGTGCAACTGGTCAGGCTTGTGGTTTGCATATTCTATTCCTTGTAATCAAATAATAGGCTTATCTGAGGGACTGAGATGTATTTTTTGTGGGTGGGAATGTGGGATTGCATTTACGATTTTACATTGGAGGTGTAAATGAGCTGAATTATTCATGAACTATTTAGGATCAACTGTTAAATATTTGTTCAAATTTATTTATTTTAATTAAATAAGCAACTCAAGCTTATTCGACTCAATTATTTAACTGAGTCAAGCCCAAGCTGAATCTTTTGTATAATTTTGTTGTTTCCTGCTATCCTAATTATATTGTTGGATACTTTCAAGCATGAAAAAAATTGTAAATTGCTAATAGATGATGGTTCAACATATGAAGAAAGATAAACAGGAAAGAAAGTTAGAGCTTTTTTTATTGAATATCCTTCTCCAACTCTAGATCAATTGGTATCCAGGATCAAAAGAGTGAGAATGATATACAATGGGTCTTCCCGAGGAGTTCAAGAGCCTGGTTTCTCTCACCGAAAACAAACTTCCTTCCTTTACATTCTCTGCTTCCAATTAACTTGTAACAGATTTCCTAATAAGGTCTACTCCTAAATAACATTGCCTAACTAACAAGGTCTGACTCACTTGATAAGTATCTAACAGTTGCCTTGTGTTAAACATGGACCTGAATTTCAAAATATGTGAACGTTTTATGGTTATATTACTTACAAGAGGACATCTCCTGTGAATTATTGGCAGTCTCCCCTTGTCTCCTCATCTATCGACGTAGCTGTCTTCTGTCTTTCATTGATGGGAACAAACTACCAAAGTTACCTTGAAGAATCATATAGAGTTCTTAAGCCAGGGTATGTTTTCTTATGTGTAATTTTAGCTTTGCATGCTGGATTATTCCTACCCAGGAATAGGATCTGACATAGTATAGTTTTGAACAGTGGCTATCTTTTGATAGCAGAAGTAAAGAGCAGGTTTGATCCAAATAATGGAGGAGCAGACCCTGAAAAGTTTTCAAATGCTATTTCTGAGCTAGGTTTCAAGTCTGTAAAACAGGTGTGGAGAGTTTTATTTCATTACCACAATAAACATGAAGTTGGGTTGTGCTAACTGATATTTACTCTTTGCAGGACTTCTCAAATAAAATGTTTATTTTGTTTTACTTCACAAAAAAGGTATGCAGCTGATTGCGGTGAATGTGATTTCATTTGCTTGTTTGTTATCCTTACTAGTCATTACTGATTCAGTCTACTCTTCTTTGTTTAGGAAAAGCAAATATCTAAGAAGAAAGAAATTGAATGGCCAATGCTTAAACCGTGTTTGTACAAGCGACGATGAGATTATAATATTTTTGTTTATTTTTTCATTTTTGGTATACTTAATGTTATTTAGATGAGAATTAAACCTCTCTTTTTAAACGTTAGCATGGCTAGTAGTAAATCACCTCGACCTCATTCCTATTATTTGATTTTAAATGCTTATAGGGAGTTGCTTGGTTTACAAATCTACCATGACCACTTATTGTATATCAGATAGAGTGACTTCACTTAAAATCTTTTTTCCCCTTTGGATTTTGTATGTTTGGTTTAAAAATGCTTGAAATTTTTTTGTTTGTCATTATAAATTTTTTATTTGTTTAATTTATACTGTTAATAAAATGTAGTTTTAATTTCTCATTTCACATGCTTAGTTTTCAGGGATGAATTAAAAGTATGTTTTGTTAAATGTAAAGATTTAAAGGAATAAAACTATAAGAGTTAATTACCTATACACTGCTAGTGTAAAGTTTTTTTTACACTGACAACCAATTATATCTTTTAATTGTATCATGTCACTGTTAAAAGTAAATGTATTTATAGTGACATGACATAATTAAAAGATATAATTGGTTGTCAGTGTAAAAAAATTTTATACTGATAGTGGCAGTGTATAAGTGATTAACTCAAAATATAATAGGGATTACGACAAAATCTATAATGTTTATAGGCATGTTACTTGAATTGTGATTCAAAACTTATCAGATTTTTTTTTCTAGATCGTTATGATCAATAAAAAAAATCATGTACAAAATTAACAAAGATATAAAAGCATTTATTCACAATCAATAACTCAGAAACATAAGTTCGGAAGCATGAGTTTTGCTAAAATTTGATATTATAGAGAAATATAAAATTTATAATAAGTAGTCTGCCATTAGAATTATTTTAAATTAAAGTTTATGTTGAATATTCTATTGCTAGAATTATTTTATAATTTATAATAATATTGTTATTAAGTTTATTAAATATTATTTAAATATTTGTATTTTAAAAACTGCAGTTGATTTTATTTATTATCATTTATAATAGATTTATTATAGAGAGATAGTAAAACACTAAGTGAAATTTACACAATGGCCAAATTAATTAAATGTTTTTTATTTGATAATATAAAAAAGCTTAAATATCAAGTTAAAATTTAATTGAAATTGAGGGTGAGACACGGTCTTTTCTTTACTTCGTAGGGTGAGGCACGATGTGTTATGTCGTGGTACTAAGCACAAGTTCTTGAAGGTAATGAAAACATAATTTTTTTCAAGATTAGGGTTGTGCACATCTAAATGTGTAAGTATATATCAATATACATGATTTCATAAGAATTGTCTCTTTAATAGAAAATGATTCAATTTTTTCTTATATTTTTTAAATTTAAAATTTAATAATATTGAGTAAATTATATTTTAAAATAATTTTGTTGAATTTTTAAAAATTAAATTTATTAGTCTAATTAATATTATTAATATAAATAAGCTTTTAAATAAGTTAATAGATTAAACTAGACTTTAAAAAGATCAAACTTAAAAAAAAAAATTATGATAAATAATAAGTTAGATTTAGTTTTAACTCTATAGAGTGGATTCAACTTATATATTTAAAATCTGGCTTGAGCTACCCTATTTTCATATCTATTTGAGCAGAATTGTAGTGTGACACAATTTGCACGCTCTAGCTACCATGTTTCGTGATTTTGGCTATGAAACATGCTCTGGGTGTGATGATAGTAGAGTGCTTCGACTCTTTTTGGGCCTCAAAAAACTTACCTCTGCAAGAATTGTGTGATTCTTGTTATTTGTGGTGTGATTAAAACTCCAAAATGATTCATTTGTGTCGCTTGTTGCTCGAATAGTACAATAAGTAGTACCATACTTTTTTTTTTTTAGGATAGTGAACAGTACAATACTTACTACCATGTTTATATCATTATATGATGAAACAATACTTAATCCTTTAATATTTTTTTTCTTTAAAAAGTATATGGGTATATGTGGTCTATCATGCGTCAGCATGAATAATGGTTGTTAGATTAATTTAGTTTTTAATTATTATAATAATGCACCATTTATATCATGATAAGTGCTAGAGTGTACAAAGATAATAATAGGTGGTATATAGTGTTCAATTAATATACACCGTTAGATTGATTTTGTACTATTAGTTTTGTATCTACAACATCATGAAGATCAAGAATATGTTGATGTGGAAAAATTTTAATGCTCATGACTTCAAATAGTGATATGAACCCCGAAAGAAGATTTTGAAGGTGTCGTTATTGGGTTGTAAGTAAAACTTGCTTTCTTTTGCTTGGTTAATTTATCATGTTTGGGTAAAGTTTTTATGTTGAGGGTTTTTGAAAAATTTGTTCAACTTTGATGCTTTTTTTTTCTTCGATTTGGTTGATGTTTTGTTTTTGATTTGGTGTTTTTGTTTTTGTTGTTTTGCTTGTAGAGACCCAACAATTGTAATTTTTTCAATGGGTGGCTGAAAACGAGATTGAGGATGATACATATACATTGGTTCAAGAAAGTTTATAGTGTATGCATATAGAGTTGGAAGATGCAAGAAATTTTTTTTTGAAGCTGCAAAAAAAGATCACCATGGAAATGTGCTTGTTGATGTTGTTTTGTTCAATGTTGGGAATGATGTGTGTAGTGTTAGTGTCCAAAAGTAACTAAGTTGAGTTACTATTATGTCCAATAATAGTGTTGTAGTATCATTAGGTGGTTGTAGTCCCATTATGTGGTTGTATTTTGGTTTTACATTTTGGAGATTTTGGAGACCTGTAACAACTTTGGTTTTACGTTTTGGAGACCATTATGTATTTGGTTAAATTATTTGTGATCAAGTAATCCAATTACTACTTAATTATATTGAATTCGTTGGTTATATTTTAGTTCAACATATTGGTTAATGCATGGTATTTAGTTATATTGCACAGTTAAGTAAATACAATCCAATTGGTTCAATGCATACTGTTTAGTTTGTTGGACTACAAAAACTATTAAATAAAAAGTGAGTCAAATGTATTCAACAAAATTGATTCAACATACACATTGTATACCCATCAAAAGAATATAAAAGATTATCCATAATACTAAGTAACTTCATTAAAAAAAAAAAAAAAAGAAGACAAGGTTCAGTATAACCTTAACCCATAACACAATAAACAAGTCATGACCATATTTAGTGGCTTACAAGTCTGGATAGTATATTTAATATATAGAAGTCATTGACCACATTTAGAGGCTTATAGGTAGGTCTAAACAAATTCTCCAAAACAATATGCTTAAAATAAGACCTCCAAAGCATTTTTTTTACAAAAGACCAAATCTGGACAAATTCTCCAAATGTCACAAAAAAACTAAATCCTCCTCTATTCTTCTATGGATTTGATTTTTCAGTCGGAACATTGTTGTTATTATCTTTCTTCCTTGCTTCACTATCTGTAAAAACGTGTTTGACCCTCTCTTGCACGTTACAAGTCAAAAATGTTAGAAATATATATGAATCAACGTTACAAGTAATATATATATATATATATATATATATGATACATACCAAGGCTTGATTCAAATTTGCAAGCAAGGCACAGGGTCCAAATCTCCAACAAGAATATCCATTACATATATTGTTCCTTTACTCTATTATAAAATAGATCAATGTTGTTTGGAACTAGAGTTCATAGCTAGTTTTATTTTAATGATATATACCTGTTTTGGTCTTGTTTTTGTTGTGCGAGACTTGGTTGTTGGATCTTTAGATGGAGGCCTTCCCTTTCTTTTTATTTTTTTCTTTTTCTCTTTTTGAACTTGTGTTGTAGCAATTGAAACCTTAGTTGCAAGATCTGAAACTTGATTTGGATCTTGAGTTGTAGCTAGAACTAGTGTTGTAGCAATTGGAAGTTTTATTACAGTAGTTGTAACTTTAGTTTGTTCATTTACAAAAGGTTGCATAGGGGCATTCTTACAACTCTTGATGTTATGGAATTATTTGAGATATCTTTTACATTTGTTTTGGGTTTTTGTTCTCTTTCATTTTGTTGGTCTAGGATCTACTTCATCAGGCTCTCTTTTGTGCAATTTCTTGGGTCTTCTAGGACCAACCTTAGAAATTGGAGGTAACATAACTTTATAATCTACCTTAAAGTGTTTTGGCAAATTATTTTCACAAAGAAGTGTTCTTACCATTTCTTGTAAAGTCTGATTCTTTCTTTCAATTACCCCATTTTATTGATGTGTTCTTGGTGATGAGAAGTTGTGAAAGATATCGTGTTTTTCACAAAAGCTTTTGAAATCATAATTTTTAAACTCAACTCCATGATCACTTTTGATGGTAGCAATGCAAAAACCTTTTTAGTTTGAACATGCCTACAAAATATTTCAAAGACCTTAAACAACTGATGTTTGATCCCTAGGAAGTATACCCATGTATATCTAGAATAGTCATCTATAATGATAAGTTCATACTTTTTATCTCCTAGACTAAGTGTCCTAGTTGGACCAAATTAATTCATATGTAACAACTCTAGTGGTCTAAAAGTGGAAACAATTTTCTTGACTTTAAAATATGTTTTGACCTATTTCTCTTTCTAAAAGGCTTCGCAGAGAAGATGAGTTTTCCAAGAGATTTCAGTTAGTGTTTTTACTAAACTCTTTTTGGTTATTTTTGAAATATGTTTCATATTGACATGCCCAAGCTTTTTGTGTCAAATCTTTTTTTCATCTTCTCTAGATACTAAACATGTTACATTTTGTTTGTTCAAAATCTTGTCCTTGAGAGACTTTATCTCTTCAACAATGTCTATAATTTTCTTCTTGAGTTCAAGACTTTTTTTCTCCTAAAATCTTGTTTTTCTTTAAGTTTCTTGTACTCAAGAGAGATCTTGTGAGAGTTTGCTAAGAGTTTCTTATAGGATATCTCATCGTCATTAGATTTTACCTCTATATTAGTAGCATGTTGGCCTTCTCATCATCTGAACTACTACTACTGTTGTCTAGATCTTCCTAAGTGGCCATTAGGCACTTCTTAGTTTTATTTTTGGAAGATCAAATTTTTCTTTGTGAAGGGCAATCAACCTTCATGTGAACCAACTTCTTACACTAGTAGCAGACCACTTCGTTGTTGTCAATCTGATTAGGCTTTCTGAATTTTTCCTCCTTTTTGTGGAAGTTTCTCAATCTTCATTTCTTTTTCAGCATGTCCTTGAACTTCTTAGACATAAGAGATATACCATCGTCTATGGAGTCCTCAAAACTATCATCTGAGTTGTTGGGCTCAGATTCTACCTTCAAAGTTTCT